TTTAAATGATAAAATAATTGTTGAAGATAAGAGAATTATAATAAAAATCAAATATTAAATATTCTTATATCTTACATGTAATTATATAAAGTTATGTTGGTTATATGTGCTTTATTTACAATTTTTAAGTATTAAAATAAATGTAAAACAAAGGCTTTGATTGGAGACAATTGAGATTGCGGATTTCAAGTAAATTTTTTTGAAAAAAGTTTAATGTCACAAATCACATGCTATTTTTGTAATTTGCGTTTTTTAGAGAAAAAAATAAAAATCCATTTGCATTTTTTGAGAGAGGATATTAACCAGTGGACCGCAAATATTTGTACAACCACCAATTACCGATCAGTTTGTTCGAATTCCGCAACCGATACAGCAAAATATTAATTTTTCTTTTTATTTAATTTTGATTCATTAAAGAGAGTTTAATAACCAGCAATAAATTTTAACAATAAACGTGTTTTCTAATTTAAGTTGTTAATAATATTCATAAGTGATTTATTTTTTAAAGTCCTTTTTTGAGAATTTTTTTTTAACTTATTTCACTATTTTCACAAGTTATAAATCAGTTTTAGTAAAAACAAAAACAGATTCATAAAAAATATGATTAAATTATTTCGTATATACACTACAAAAAAACGGCAGGTCACGTCGTTTAATATCGTATTTAACGTTGGTATAAAATGACGTAAGATTAATACCGTCGGTTTAGAAAGCGTCGTAATATTGTATGACGTTAACAGTGAACAAATTTAACGTTATTTGTGAATAAGCTCATGAAAGTCTCTAACTATCATATTTTCACTGGATTTTTGTGTAATATGTCCAATGATTTATCTACAAATATTAAAATTCTTATAAAATAAATAAAAATTGAAAACCAAATTTTTAGTCGGTTAGTAAACCGACGGCAAGTTCCTTCCAGGTAAAAAATTTAAAGTCGGTTTAGTAAGTGACTTACATAAATTGACGTTATCCAGAGTGTTTTTTGTAGTGATAATGTATAATATATATTTTTACTATACTCAAAAGTTTTATTATATAAACTATAGTTTTAGTTACAACAAATTTATTAAATATTTGATGTATTTCTTCACTATTTTAATGGATAAAATTAACTTTATTAATTCAAAATAAATTTTTGTTTTTAAAATTCGTAAATAGGTAGATGAAAATATTATTTCATTAAGAATAAAAAACAATTTAATATTTATAACTATATTAATATAATAATATAGTTTTAACCATTCAAACATTTTATTATGTACCGCAAATAGTTTTTTCACCAATCAAACTTTATTCTGTACAGCTTATTTTAGACTAACCACACTAGTCCTGCAAATAATTTTCTCCCGTACGTACCGCAGTTGAACCGTACCACACTATAAAACCGCTTTTCCAGGATAATCAATTACGATGTTACCATTCGGACCCAAAGAAAAAAGTGTTGGACCACACACTGTGTATTTGGAACACACTTTTATACTAGTGGTTTCAATGTTCCGCACATACAAGGTAAAAAGGTTCTAAATTGTACCGTACTTGCTACAAAATTATAATTTATTTATTTATTTAACTAAAATCTGTAAACTGAAAAGTTGTGTTGAATGGTAACATTAAATACAAAAGTTCCGTCCCGCAGTAATAACACGTCTCCCATTCATGCCTTTAATTTCTAGTTAAAAGCAATCAGAAATTTACTTACTAACAACAAATTTTGAATTTACTTTTACTTTTGATTATGGCTTTAATTTTGAAATTAGGATGCTAAAAAAGCTTCCTATTTTCTGTTTTATTTGTGGCCCCCAAATTTTCAAGACCATCCCTTATCAATGGGCATGATTAAAAGGATTACAAAAAATAATATAATTAATGTATATAAGAGTAATATAGGAGATATGAGTAATCATAGGTGATATAATGATACTCTTTCCTTAATAGACTAGAATTCTTAAAAAAGTTTTTTTTTTTAATCGCTATTTTTTACTTTTTTAATTATTTTTTCAGTATCGCTTACTGTGTATAAGGATTGTTGTGAGTTGGTCAAGAGTCGGGGAGCCATATATCTCCAAACCCGCTAAAAGGGTCGAGGAGCCATATATCTCCAAACCCGCTAAATCTTTATGGATCCGAGTAAAAGTGTATTATACCGTAGAAACCGTCTAAGAAAGTAAACTAGTTTCATGACCACATAAAATATTTTAATATAGATTAGGCTAATGTAATCTATTATATCTTAGTCGTTACGGAGATTGGGTTATCTTACCCCACGTACTATAGATGTGAGTGAAGATGGAAAATTTACTTCTTACTCCGACGGTTTGTGATCTCATCTTCGATAGCGGGAATCAGCTGATTGGCAGTGCCGGCTCACAGAGGGGCGGGAGGTGCGACGGCCAGGAGCCCAATCCCGCATTCCAATAATTAAGGGGCCCATTTTAAAAAATATTTTTTATAAAAGTATTAAAAGTTTTAGATTACAACATAAAACTAAAATTTAGAAAGACCCATAAATTTTTTATTTATTGTTTTATTAATAATTATTTTTTTTAATAAAAATAGTATACAAAATTTTTTTACGACAAACGAACACTAAAAAAAATCTAAGGACCCAAATTTTGTTGTCCTAGGCAGAGCCGGCCCTCACATGCTTGCAGCCGTTTTTAGAATATATACTTTTTCGGCCGATTTTTTCCATGTAGTTGTTGTAGCTCTGTTGGTCAATGCTTGAATGCTAGAAGTCTGAGGTGGAGAGTTCGAGCTTCCTCCCAGAAAACAATAATAATTTTATTTTTTTAATTTTTTCGTTAGTAACTAATAGGCCCAAAAAAAAATTTCGTTTGTGGCCCAAACATTTACAGCGCCGGCTCTGGTCCTAGAGCCCATAAAAGTGTTGAGCCGGACTGCTGATTGGCTGTTACTCAATTTCTGTTTTTACTTATTCTTGTTTCAGTTTTCCAGTTTTATTTTTGGATCATCAAATTGCTAGATATCTGTTTAGACAAAGCTGAACACTCTTGTACATATTTTTACTTTGATTAATCAATTACACATTTTATCGAAAAACAAAAAAAAATCACCTCTTACATTCTAATGTGTTTACGCATCTTAAACAATCGAATATCTTCTACTAAGAAATATAAAACGAACTCAACAAATATTCAAGTAATTCATTTTTTGTTTGGGAAAAAACCCGAAAAAACCGTCATCTAATTTTTTTTTAGCCGTTTAATACCTATAGTATTAAATTTGGAATAAAAATACCTTATTTAGTTTCGGTTGCCTTTTAAAACCTTCGGTTTTTAAAAAATGGTAAAATCGAACTTCCGAATTAACGGTCGTTAAGTTTGCTAACGGAAACACTAACTGTGGTTAAAACTTTACCCATGGTATTTAAACTATATATATACTATCTCTTTTCAAGCCTTAAGTATATACTGTCTTCGTCAAATGGTAAAACGTGTGTTACCTATTCTAAATAACGTGGGTTCGAATCCCCCATCGTCCTTTTTAGACGTTTTTTAATTTTTTTCTTAATTTTTTTTTTCTCCTTCTTCTCTTTTGTCTTCCTCTTCTTCTTACTGAACAATGCCTTCAAGACCAAATCCTAAACCCAGAAACTCAGAGCAAATCCATCATAAACTTCTCTTTTGTTTTATTCTCCTACTATTCAACAAAATCTGGAAATGAAACAAAAGCAATTCTCGATCTCTCCGGAAACTAGATCTACCCAGAAGTGTCTACAACATCTCAGATCCGCATTTGAAGCTCACAAATTAATCTTAGTGTAACGCATGTGAATCAGATCTCGACTAATCTATGTAATTTGAGATCGACAAAAATTGTCATCTAGAAACAAAATAGAAAAATGGGGCTAAGAGAAAGCGGGCACTAAAATGAAACTTCAATCAGATGCGGGTATAAAATCGAGAGCCGGCAAACCGTTTCTGGTTCTAGAAGCCATCGAAAAACTAGCTTCACTCCATCTTCCCACCCATTCTGTCGATCAAATGGATCAGAAGAAACTAAAGACATATGTTTTTCGATGACGAAGAAGATGAAGTAAAAAAAAAAAAAATTAAAAACGTCTTTAGGGGGGATTCGAACTCAAGTTCAATAGGATAGGCAACCCAAGTTAAACCACCTGACTAAGACGATATATACGTAAATCTACAAAAAGAGGTTATATATATACTTAAACATCGTGGGTTAAGTTTTAACCGCGGTTAGTGTTGCCATTAACAAAGTTAACGGTCGTTAACTCGGAAGTTCGATTTTACCATTTTTTAAAAAACGAAGGTTTTAAAAGGCAACCGAAACTATATGAGGTATTTTTATTCCAAATTTAATACTACAGGTATTAAACGGCCAAAAAAAAATTACATGGCGATTTTTTCGGATTTTTTCCCTTTTTTGTTTTCACTATTCTCTAGCCCCCATACTTTTTTAAATGTTTTATAATTCTTCAATTTTTCTATGTTATCTATCGACCCAACTACGTAGTTAACAAACAAATTACAGAATTAGTCAAAAAAGCTAAAAATAAATTTCGTTTTCAAAGTTGAACAACATTTGTAGTAATCAAAATATTTAGCGCCAATCAAGGTTCTTTTATTCCCATGCTATTTATTATTAAAGTTTATTTTTTCCTAGTTTGGTCCCAACTTTTTTCCTAATTCTTTATTTTCCGCGTAAATTCGGGATTGCGACATATATCTTTACGTCTTCTTTTGTTCTGTCATCGAATCAAAACGGAGCGTTCCAAGTTGCTTCCTTGTTTTAGGAGTAATTGTATTTTGCTCTTTTTCTCCAACAGGCTTCGACGAGTCACTTTCATTTGCAACTGTTTCCAACTTTATTTTCAGACATAACTTTTCCAACTTTGTTTTCAGACAAAACTTACTTTGGACCCAAATCTTATTTCTTTAAATTTATAAGCATATTTGTTTGTTTACACCAATTTGGAAATTGTATTTTGTGAAATTAAAGAATGATATTGATAATGAACAAAAAAAATGTATAGCCTATGCTCTTCTCATATATAAAATACAAAATCTAAAACGAATAATGTGCTACGAAATCCAAATAAAAGAGGGAAAAAAATAAAATTAATAGAAAACACAAGACCCATCCTCTCTATACAATAAACTTTTTAATCAGCCATTTCTTTTTCTCTTATAATTTTTTTTTCACAAAATAATTTTATCTGTGTAAGAATTGACCAACGACGTCGTATAGTGTTTCAATCTGTTTAGGGTTCGTGCCACGTCATCGTTTCAGTCTCGTGTTTCTCAAAAGAATCAATAGAACGGCGGTGGTGGAGGAGACGCGTATGATACTCCGATGACCGGTGGTAGTGGTCCTTCATATTCAGGAGACGGTGGTGGTGGACTACGGTGGACTACTGGTGGTGGTGGTGGGCTGTGGTGAACTATCGGCGGTGGTGGACTGTGATGAACTACCGGTGCTGGTGGAGGAGATTCTTCACATGGAGCTGATGGTGGCGGCGGCGGAGAGCTATAATGTACTGGAGGTGGCGGCGGAGAACTGTAATGGACTTCCGGTGGTGGGGGTGAGCTGTAATGAACCGGCGGTGGCGGCGGTGGAGAGCTGTAATAGACTGGTGGAGGTGGCGGAGAGCTGTAGTAGACTGGCGGTGGAGGCGGAGAGCTATAATGAATGACTGGTGGAGGAGGAGGTGAATACTCTATACACGGTGGAGGTGGTGGTGGTGGTTGTTCTATACAAGGAGGTGGGGGAGGAGGGGAATAGACCGGAGTGGGTGGTGGAGAGTAAACTGGTGTTGGTGGGGGCGGTGGAGA